CAACACCAAACCATTCGAGTATGCACCTTTCTTTCAGCCTTCGTCAGCAAACTCAATCTTTGTTACTCAGATAACACTGTCATTGCGCTTCGGAAGCGGTGAACGGTGAAGCTGATCGACGTTTATCGACTAATATGTAATGTATTAGTCGATAAACGTCCAGCTTCACCGTTTCTGCCTTGACACACGTTCAACAGCACAGTCTAGATTTCGGCTTAATGGAAATCAAGCTACCCGTAGCTGTTCGAGTGGAGACCACTTTTGCGGCGCAATTGAAACGAGACACTTACAATGGTCTAGTCTCTTTGTTTTCGCTCTTTTTGCAGGTTAAACACATACACACCAATTCCCGTTCATTCGTGGCGCATGCCCACTGATTAATTTACCCGAATCTCACTGTTTGTTTCCCTGCTCCACTGTTCTTATCCCTGTTGCTCTAAATGCGAACATCAGAATTGCGTTCGTCCTTCCACCATCAGTTCGTGCATAGTTTAGTCCATGTCCGCCTTCCTGACTCGTCTGATAATCTTTGTTTTTTTCCCGTCTCTCTCTTTCCCAAGCATTTATCTGTGTTCATCGATCACGCATAGACTGCTCATCTCCTCTCCTCGCGTTTCACACCTCCATCTCACCCCAAGCAGATTGAACTCGTTGAACTTTATCATGTTCACAAACTCGTCTCATACGCACGCACGCGCGTTCACACGATTGCGTGTATGCGCATAGTTGACGATGGGAGTTAGTCGGATTTGAGGACTAAATTAAACCTTTACGAATTCCCGCTCATTGTTAAGCGAACGATAATCCCCTCAAGAGTGTGCCCGATCGAACTTCAAGCGTTTACTATTCACATTTCAGATACTCGATAGATCATACCACATTGTGTTGCTTCTGGGTGATTTATCACCTCCGATACACGTGTGTTCAGTTGTTTACTACGGTTGCACAGGCGTTTTCACGTTGGTCCCCAATATTGGTACCGCCCGTGAGGCGAGGCATTTTCTGTAACGCATTCCCCCTCCCGCCAGATCAAAGAATACAAACCTGTGCGAATTGAAAAGCAGTCAGGTTGTTGTGGTGTTCCTTATCCCTCGACCGGATTTCAGACAGGATTCTATGGCTATCTGTTTGTGTATTTATTCGATGCTTCTAGCCTGCTACTTTGTAATTTTAGTCTTGGTGGACTGAGTAGAAATGGAACTGATGCAATAGTGAGCATACAAAATAGAGCATAACCATCGGTATCCCCCCTGTGCGGCGTTTTGTGCAGCTGGCTACGATTCTCTTCTAACAGGTCCACTCTCTAACCATTTTGCACGAATCTGGTGGGGCAGCCAGACGAGAAATGCTGAGGTCAGGTGCAGAGTTTTGGGTATCCACGGTCACCCACTGGAACCAATGGTCGACCTCCATAGATTACGTTGGTTGGGGCATGTGTTACGCATGTCACCAAATAGGTTGCCACGGCGAGCGATGTTCGCCGAGGCAGGTAGTGGGTGAGAAAAGGCCAAGGTTTGACCTGGCACGAGGTTATGAACTCCCTAACCAGGGCACTGGGTAACATAGGTCCGGTTAGGCTGACGGGGACCTCGGGATGATCGTAAACGATGGTTAGAGGCACTGAGTGCTATAACTGTATCGTAAACAGTGGCGCTCGAGTATCTTCTTAATTTCTGTGCAACCCCAGACCGCTGAGATTCTCCATTTTCTGTTCTGTGAATGGTTGTACAACCTGAACTAAACTGAACCTCTTGCACATTCATATTTCGCGTGCATTGTGAGCTCAGCAGCGATCGTTTTCGTTCGCTTCAATGTGTTCCGCTGTCGCTGTCGGGAAGAAGCTGTTTACAAACAACCACAATGTTCTGTCATCAAATTCATGATTATGTTTTATCTCTTCCGATCACACTTTACATCACCTCCTTGTTCCCTCTCTGTCTCCCTCTCCCATCCGCCTGTTTTCACTTCATGCGCGCAGCAAGTGATTGATGAGGATCAATCCGGTGGACCAATTCTACCGCGCCAGGAAGCGGACTATGTGTTTGGCAAATTGGGTGCGATTGTCGATCTGCACGAACGTCTGCAACCACAATTGACCCAACTGGAAACCAATTGGTCATTGACCGAAAGTTGTCTGGGGGATGTGTTGCACATGGAACTACTGGACGAAATGGACAAGGTAAACCCGTGTTCTGACTGTACCAATCACAATGATCAATTGGTTTTGAGGGCTATTAGATTCTCGCTTGAGGCAGCATATCAGCGTACCAAGGTTTCCTATGCAGTTCATCACTCATCTCATTTCAATGAGCGACGTTTCTCCCCCCTCCCCGGGATGCACAGTGAGTGGGTATATCAATACACTACACGGTGTGTTTGTGTGTGCGAGAGAGAGAGATAGAGAAAGAGAAGTGATTGTAGTCGTTTCAACTAATGAATGAAGGGCCAGACTAAGTAACCGTTTGGTCCTCGACTGAGATGTGGATTAGGCAATCCATTGCTCGATCGATCGCTGCTTTTATGGTCGAATCATTTGAAACCGCTAGTGCATGCGCACTGCTGCTTACCTGGCGTCACTGCCGTTCTTTTTCACTTGCAGAATTGAATCTGTCTGATGTGCGATTCTCACATTTGCTGTTGACTATACTTTTCCCCCACCCTCTCTCTCTCCTCTCTTCCCTAACCCTAATCGACCGAACCATCATCACCCGGCTCGCAACTGACCCAGGCTTACGGAAACTATATGCAATTCTACAGTCCACCTCATCTGCATCATTTGGGTGAACAGTTTCCTCGTTTTCTGGCGTTTATGCGTCAGGTGGAACGGCGCCGTGAATCAGGTCGCCAGAGTCTGGCTGCACTACTGGTGCGGCCGGTTCAACGTCTACCCTCAGTTGCCCTACTCCTGGAGGGTATGTGAACGTGACTGACTGTTTGTTCTTTCTCTTGTTGCTTAGATGCTATCCCAATTATATTGTGATCGTTTTTGGTCTTTATTCAACAGTGAAGCTTATCACTTATCTTTTTCTCCATGATTTATTTGAAACAAATGGAAATTGGAGAGTAATTCCGTGAATAAACCAATCATTGTTTCACTATTAAATATATTTCAAGAGATGCCTATGGGTCAATTTGTTTGAAGTTCAATGAATTGTGAAAACTTCTGCAGCACAACCCCCCCTCCCCCCCCGGAGGTGATGTGACTTACATCGCTGTCTATGAATCTTCCCAATACCCATTTGTTGAGCCTCAGAATCTTCAGCACAAGTGAGAAGCCACTTCATCTCTAATTAGGTTTGTCCACTCGACTTTTATATTTGTATCTCCCACACGTCAGACTGTGTGCCAAACAATTCCCAGTACAATAATCTTTATAAATAAAAAAAGGATCCGTGATTTCCTTATGTGCGGAATACAGCCAGGTTGCCCTTACCAAACGAAGCCTTCGGCTAATTAAAATCTGACTCGCAAGTTAGCGGGGTGGTGTGTGAAACCTGCAAATCGTGTCCAGTTCATCGAATCATTCGTCCTTTTCGACAGGGTCAGACGTCCAAGGTNCCATGCCCAATCAAGCCGGTAACCACGACCACGGAGGTGTGTGTGAGGTTCGTACGTTCCTTCTTGGCTGGTTAGGAATCAGAGTTCGTAGCCAACTCCCCAAGGTGAACTGCCAGTGATTCACTGATCCAGTTATAGCCCTGGGTGTTATCTTTTCGTTCCCCCACTGGGGTGGGAAAACATCTGAGCCATGGAAAGGCAGTGAGTATGACTTCCTAACTAGAGGCTCTTTGAGACGCTTTGTTGTATGGAATCATTTCCTGAGGTGACCAGTCACAAACCGAGATACCCATTCCTGACCATACTGAGAATTTCCCTCGACTAATTCTTCACCAACAAAACCTCGACCTTCATAATGTTTTTGAAAATTCCCATGTGCTCACCGCTTTAGAACAACTCATCATCATCATCATCATATATATATATATATAAATATATATATATATATATATATATATATATATATATAGGTCGCGATGGAATATATGAATGATCGAACGAGACGGTATTGGGTGAGGATCTGTGCATAGGGGCAATTACC